CGTGGCGGACTCTTCACCACATCCTGCTGCTTTCATTCCCCAGGGGGTAGTAGGCCGCCTCGTGGTGAGAGTTCCAGGGAATTGTTTTTTTTGTTTATCTTGGATCCATTTTTGCAGTTTTTGCTGAGCCGGAAAGAAGAGGAGGCAGTGCTGGTTGGGGGTGAGTGGTCTCCCTCTCTGGATGGCCTCGACCCCAAGGGCGACCCGCAGGTGCTAGTCCGCACTGCCATCCGCTGTGCGCAAGCCCAGACTGGCATTGACTTGAGCGCCTGCACGAAGTGGTGAGTGGCTGCCCCAGGCTTGTCTGTGTGTGGCCCGTTGTATTGGCAAGACTGTTTAGGAGGCCGAGTTCCTGTGCCTTTCTGACCTGTTAGTGCTCTTCTCTTCCCTGGTCCTACCTCATCCCTCCCTCCAGCCCTCGCAGACGGTCGTCTTGGTCATGAGCACGAGTAGGGATGTGTATGGGTGTTGAGGGCCAGCCGACCCTCCAAGCCTCGTCCCATGTGATCGCCCAGCCGCATTTAGTGGTCCTTGGTGCTGGGAGCACCCTGGATAGTTACTGTCTGCTTACTCACGTTGGCCCATTGATGGACCATTTCTCGAGGACTTGGTTTCGTATTTTCAAAGCTGTGTGTGTAGTATGTGCTTATTAAATGTTGATTGGAAACTGAAGCCCCTGCTTGCGAAGGTTGTGGGTCGGTACTTTTTCCTTTCGCTGTGAGCAGGTGGCGCTTTGCGGAGTTCCAGTACCTGCAGCCGGGCCCCCCGAGGCGGCTGCAGACCGTGGTGGTGTACCTGCCAGACGTCTGGACCGTCATGCCTACTTTGGAAGAGTGGGAGGCCCTGTGTCAGCAGAAAGCTGCAGAGGCAGCTCCCCCTCCCCGAGAGGTGTGCGGGGTAAGGCTGAGCCTTACAGACCAGCTGGCAGAGCGGGTGCCCCGAGCTGCGGACCCAGGCGGTCACAGCTCTGGCTTCTGTCACAGGAAGCAGAGCCTCCGCACCAGGCAGCTGACGCATCAGAGCTAGGAGCAGACACCTCTAAACAGAATGCAGAGAATCCAGAGGCCACCGCACAGCAGGACACGGACACTGATCTCCCAGAGGCCCCTCCGCCCCCTCTAGAGCCTGCCGTCCTGGCGCGCCCTGGCTGTGTCAGCCTGTCCCTCCACAGCATTGTGGAGGACCGGAGGCCAAAAGAAAGGATCTCTTTTGAAGTAGGTGTAGGAGTCTGGGGAGGCTGTGCAGTAGGGTGTGTGGGATGGCAGGGCTTGGAACATTCCCTTTTTCCTGATGCTCACGGACCTCTGCTGCCTCTTCCATAAGGTGATGGTGTTGGCCGAGCTGTTTCTGGAGATGCTGCAGAGGGATTTTGGCTATAGGATTTATAAGATGCTGCTGAGCCTTCCCGAAAAGGTGGCAGCCCCGCCTGAACCTGAGAAGGAGGAGGCGGCCAAGGAAGAAGAAACAGTCAAGGAAGAGGCTGCCAAGGAGCCCAAGGATGAGGTACAGAGTGAGGGCACAGCTGCCGAGTCAGACGCCCCGCCGGTGAGTACCACTGCTGCCCGCACGGGCACTGGGGCTGCACGCGGGGGTGCCGAGTGGATCCGGGCGCCGCTGGGGGCCCCACGGGGCTCCTCTCACTGCCTGCATGCACCTCGTCCCCCTGCCACACGGGCGCACAGCTAGGAGGTGGTGTGCGAGGAGAGGGGAAGGGGCCTGGAAGTGTGGCCGACAGTGCCAAGCTGTGAGGACAGGTGTTTTGGCAACTTGGTGGTTAATTAGAACGCTGCGTTTTCTTAACGCTTTGTAAAGCACGTGGGTCTCTCTCTTACCTGAACACCATCGAGTAAATGTAATCTCTGACGGGACTCAGATTGATGCCTGAAGAGAAGCCCAGGTGCCTGGGAATCGCCCTTAGTTCGCTCTGAACCCCACGCCACGGAACACAGCAAATGAGACCGTGTAGACAGAACCCTTACCGCGGTGCCCGAGCACGGTCGGTGCACACATGTTGGAATTTATCATTGTTAGCAGTTACAGGTGTCCATTCTCATCTTGGTTTGCTTCTAGAAGGAAGATGGCCTTTTGCCCAAACCTCCGTCTTCTGGAGGAGAGGAAGAAGAGAAACCCCGGGGTGAAGCATCCGAGGACCTGTGTGAGATGGCCCTTGACCCGGAGCTGCTCCTCCTGAGGGACGACGGCGAAGAGGAGTTCGGTATGTGTTGGTCTCACGCAGTGGCTGCCCGGCTCTGCAGCTGGTGCTCTCCTGTCACCACTGTGGGTCTAGGCCCCGGGGGGTCCCTGCTCCACGCTCATCTCAGGCTTCCTGTAGCAGGAGCCAAGCTAGAGGATTCGGAGGTCCGGTCGGTTGCCTCGAACCAATCAGAGATGGAGTTCTCTTCCCTTCAGGACATGGTGAGACCTCTTTCCTGCCCCCCCCACCCCCACCCTGCTGACCGTGAAGCCGGGCCAGGCCTCCGACTCGGCGCTGGGAGAGGGAAACTTGACCGTAGGGCTTCTGGCGCCCTCTGACTGACAAAGGACAAAGTGTGGTCCTTGGCTCACGGAGTGGCACTTCTGTAGGATCCGGGACACCTCAGTGTCTCCACCTGGGTGCGTCCGAGTGAGGTACCCGATGCAGGCGCGCACTCAGCTCCTCCGTGTGTGGGACAGCCCCTGGTGCAGCAGTGGCCCGGGGTCCTGTCTCTAGCGGGAAGGGCTGCCTGGCAGTGATCGTGTCCGCTCGTTTCTCAGAGGGCTGCCTCCGGGGCGATTTCGCCAATGAGAGAACTCTTTGTAAATCTTGTTCATCCTTGTTTCTCTTGCAGCCCAAGGAGCTGGACCCCTCTGCTGTGCTCCCTTTGGACTGTCTTCTTGCTTTTGTCTTCTTTGATGCCAACTGGTGTGGCTACTTGCACCGGCGAGACTTAGAGAGGATCCTGCTCACCCTGGGGCTCCGACTCAGTGCAGAGCAGGTGCCTGTCCTCCCACCCCCGAGTCCCTTCGGAGCCCGCCTCCCCTGACGGCCGTGTGCGCACTGGACTGCTGTGCGTGGCTTGGGCTGCTGTTGCTTCCAGGTGCTCGCGTGTCACGGGCAGGGGCTCGCGCCTTCTCATCAGTGGCTATCTCGGGTGGGGGTGTTCTCTAGGCCAAACAGCTGGTCAGCAGGGTGGTGACGCAGAACATCTGCCAGTACCGGAGCCTTCAGTACAGCCGCCAGGAGGGCACAGACGGCGGGCTGCCCGAGGAGGTGCTCTTTGGTGCGTCCTGCTGCCCTGCCGCCTTCCAGGGAGGACGGGCGGGCCCGGCTGCTCTCTCCTCCGGAGACCCTTTCCTTAAACCTGCTTCATGGCCCCTTCCAGGAAACCTGGACCTGCTACCTCCTTCGGGGAAAAGCGCGAAGCCAGGCGCTGCCCCCATGGAACACAAAGGCCTGGTGTCCCACAATGGCAGCCTGATCAACGTGGGGAACCTGCTGCAGCGTGCAGAGCAGCAGGACAGCGGGCGGCTCTATCTGGAGAACAAGATTCACACACTGGAACTGAAGCTGGGTGAGTGGCCTGTGGCCGCAGGGCCCCGACCCAGCAGGGCGCGCAGACGTGTGTATGTGGAGACTGAGAGGGATCCTGCTCCTCACGCTTCAGGCCTCTTGCCCTGGGCCGCGATGCTTAACTTAGCAGCAGTTTTTCTGCCGTTTCCCCCCACCAGAGGAGAGCCATAACCGGTTCTCGGCCACGGAGGCCACCAACAAAACCCTGGCGGCGGAAATGCAGGAGCTGCGGAGCCGGCTGGCCGAGGCCGAGGAGGCGGCCCGGGCGGCCGAGCGCCAGAAGAACCAGCTGCAGCGGCTGCTCCAGGAGTTCCGGAGGCGCCTGACCCCCCTGCAGCTGGAGGTGCAGCGGATGGTTGAGAAGGTGGGCCTCCCCCGGGAGAGCTGGCCGCCCCCCGTTGCCCGTCCCCCGTGCCCGCCCAGGTTCACCGAGGCGGCAGCCTGGTCTGCCGGTGGGGAGCGTTGCTGGGCATCCCGTCTTGGCCCTTCCTCCTCGAGTCCTCATTCTCGTTCTAGGCGGACAGCTGGGTAGAGAAGGAGGAGCCAGCACCTAGCAACTGAGGGGCCTGGCGCGGGAGCTGCCCTCCTGTGAGGCCAGCGATGGAGCCTGCTGACGTCAGAGCCCTTCTGGTTGCCCAGAGAAGCTGGCGCAGGCCCTGGGAGCCGTAGGCGGGGGTGGCTGACCCCTGTGCTCAGCCTCCGTAGAGGAACTCAGGCCGTCAGGGTGGGGTCTGTGCTATGTGGGACGGATGAGTGGGGAACCCCGGTTCCACTTGACAACTAAATCCAACACCTTCTGCACCCCTCGAATGTCATTTCGCCCTCCACCTTGGGATTTCTCCTGGGGCCCTTTAGTCTTGTGCTGACTTTCTCCTGTCCTCTTCCGGTTTAGAATAAGACAGGGGAGGAAAAGGCTTTTCAAGTTTGTCCTAAGGTCTGATGCCAATAAACTGAAGAAACAGCCGTGGAATCTGGCGGGGGGTAAGAGCCCTTCCTCTGGGTGGCACAGATCCTGCTAGGTACAGGAGCAGGTTCTTGGGGGAGGGTCCCCTCGGCCATCGCAGGAACGGCCTGTGCTAGGCCTGTGCTAGCGAACTCTTGGTGGTGGGCTGTGTCTGCCAGAAAGCCCTGGGTTCCAGCCACCCCAGACTTGCAGAAGAAACCAGCACCTCCCCGTGTTCCGAATGTGGTATTGGCTCTGGCCCAGCCTTTTTCCCTGTTCCCCCATAAGTCTTGCCTCTTTCCATAATCCGTGGTTTCAGTTTGACTTTGTATATAAAGTTGTTTTTTTTTTTTTTTGGCTTTTTGTTTTTTAAATAAACCAAAGTCAAAAACAAGCCATGTGTCCTCCGTAGCTCTCCCCTTTCCTCCCCTCGTAGGTCTTCCTGTGCCGCCCCCTTCCCCCCAGCCCTCCGGTCCAGAAGGTGGGGTCGGCCGGCAGGAAGGGCTAGCCCCTGGTGCTCTCGGCCCTGCCACCTGCTGGTGGAGAGAGGCAATGCCGCAGGGGTGCGGCCAGCTGGAAGGGGGGGCGGTGCACAAGCCTGACAAACCTATGGTAGCGCTCTCAGTCACAGCACAGTAACAGCTGTCGATTTTATTGAAAACTTTACTTGAAAAAATAAAATTCCAAATACTCCGGTTCTTGCTCTGAGGCCTGTGAATCAGGCTGTGACATTTTGTGCGGTCGGTAGCCTATGGACACGAGCGGAGTCGGGTTTCCTAGGGAACCTACAAGGCTTGGGGCTTTGCGCTTGGCCTAAGGGACAGAAATAGGCTAAGCCAGTTTTTGTCATGCTGGGAGGCTGGAGTGAGGGGTCTGTCTGGGCTGGGGGAACCATAGCTCTTCTGTTCCCCATGGCGGTGTCTCGGGCCTCTTCAGAAAAAAGGCCTTAGTCTGAAAGGCAACGAGGGCGGGTGGACTCTCCAGGATAGGTCTTTGGAGGTAGATGTGATCACGACCACGCAAGCAAGGCTAAGACCTCAGGTGAGCAGACAGAGCCTTTGCCTTTGAAGGCTGGAAGCTTGCTCAGGCCCTAGGCCAGGATGCCCTTTGGACGGTTCTTTTGGAAATGAGAAGGTGCCTGGAGTTTTTCTGCCCTGCTTACCTGTCGTCTGGGCTCTTGCTATGGGTGGGGAGCTAGCAGCCTGCTTGGGGCTCCTGGTGCCAGGCTCACTGCAGAGGGCTGGTGAGGTAGAGCAGGGGCCACTGCTGTCCCCATACTTCTCTCAGGGGAGGGCCTTTTGCTGGCTGACACCTGAGCCTAAGCTTGACAAGGACAAAGACCAAAGATGTTGACTTGTGTCCCAGGAGTCTTCGAAAGGGTGGTGGGGACTCAGTCATCAGCCACAATGGAGAGGGCTCTGAGCTCACTCAGTCTGGCCTCGTTCTCCCTCTCACGCTGCTCATCAGAGTGGCCAGGCTGGTCAAGCTGCTGGGTCAGGTCTCCAAAGATCTTCTGCATCTCAGAGTAGTACCCAACCTGCGGGGAAGGAGGTCGGCAGGTGCTAGGCTCCTGGGGTACCAGGCCCCCGCGGCCTTGCACCCCGCCCCAGACACAGGACACGTGGGGCCAGAGAATGTCCCAGAGGCCCGTACGCTGCTGTACCCTCAAGCAGAGCACTCAGGCTGAGCAAAGGGGGCTGGTTTCCACTCTTCCCTCCGTCACTGCCCTTGCCGAAAACTGCATGGCAAGCAGGGAGACTGAAGCCATCGCCCCCGGCCCTTCAGGAACATCCACTGCTGCTGCCAGGACGGCAGTGAGTCAAAGGAGGAGGGAAGCCACGGAGCCTTGGTGAGGTGGAGGACGGGGTTCTGCCCTCGAGCCCTCCAGGCAGCTGAGGGGCGGAGGGGCCGGTGCCAGGAGGTGGAGGACAGCGCAGCCCAAGGCCGGGGTGGGGGCACTGGCAGGCCCCTTGGCAGGTCCTGGGGAAGCCAGGGAGTCAGGCACAGACTAGAGGCTGCTTTAGTGGAGCTAGAAGCCGGAGAGCTCTGGCCATAGGCAAGGGGGCGTGGCCGCCCCCCCCCAGCCCTGAGAGTCGATCTTTGAAGTAAAGGTGAGGAAGGTGACCCCTCCCTAGCCTTCTGTTCCTTCCTGACCTGTCCCACTGTTAATGGATGGCACAGCCTGCTCAGCACCGCCTCAGCTGTGTGGCCCAGAAGGTAGGGGCGGCCCGTCTGCAGGTCCGTGTGTGGGGGGGCATCAGGGGTGACCGGAGAGCCCTGCGGCAGGGCGGGTGCGGACGTGCTGAGGGACGGGGGAGACCCGCCAGCAACTCTCAGACGGCTGAGGGCTGCTCAGACCCAGTGCCTTTTCCAGGGACCACTTCTGCCTCAAGTCTCCAGCTCATGACCCAAAGTAGACACCTACTTTCATGAAACTGATCCACGTTACTCAAAGCACTCTTTGGACACCCCTAAATCGTGTCATCTCCAGCTCTCAGTTGTCTCTGGGGAGAAGGGACTCTGCTTCCACTCCAGACCCCGGAGTGCTATTACTGCAAGGCAAGGCCGAGCGGCAGGCTGGGTGGCAGGGCCGTGGCTCAGCTGCTTCGGAGGCAGTGTCTCCCACACTCCCACAGCTGGATTTCCACTGGGCTGAGGGGGAGCTAAATGAAGGTCTGTCAGTGCTGCTGTCACCTGAGCGGGCGGGGCCTGGCCTAGTGTGCGGGAGGGCGGGGGCTGGCCCGCCCCCCCACCCCCCCACCCCCCCACCCCAGAGCCGCACTGCGCAGGCTGAGTCACCAGGAATGCTCACTTCTCTACTGACTAATGGCAGCCACAGCCTCGGGAGGGGGAGGCTGGTGCTGAGGAGGCAGTAAACAGCCCCCAGCCACCCCGCTGCCTGGTTACAGGGTGTCCCTCGTGCCTCTGGGCACCCTGGAGCTTCCTCCCGTGAACAACAGAATGGAGGGGGCAGGGGGCAGGGGTGGTGGTGGCACAGGACAGGGAAGGCACAGTCTCCTTAAACACATTCCTCCGCGGCCTAGGCCGAGCTGCTGGAAGGAAGCCCTCACCTCCAGGGGCAATGCTCTGGGGGCAGGTGCAGGAACCCCCCACTCACTTGTGCAAGTTCACGTTCTGCCTCATTTTTCCCTAGCAACCCAGGACATGGTCACTAACAAGTTCCAGCTCCACCATCACTCCTGCTCAGGGTTCCTGAGGCCAGGTGTGCAGCCCCATGAGTTTGGGTGTCCTCCAAAGATGGTAGGCTGGGGAGGCAGGAATCCGTCTTTTCCTCGGGCGCCTGAGACTGTTGAGTGCCAGGAACGAATGTGTCCACTGGAGGGCGCCAGACGCCCAGGCCAAGAGCCGACGTGGGCTGGAGATGGCTGAGCCTTTAGCTTTGTTACCCGCCGGGGAACCGAGGGCAAGGTGGCAGGATGCTGAGCACCTGCCGTGGGCTGGGGGTCCCACGTGGGGGAGACCTCTTGGCTTTGGCACCTTACCCTTTTCTCTTACAAATAGGGAGAAAAATCCCTGCTAACTGCTTGAAGAATGGCGGGCGAGGAGGGCAGGAGCTATACGCAGGTGTACAGTCGGTGTCCTTACAGCCTTGAGGGGTGGGAGACAAGGTCTTAGCCTGTGTCCCACCCTCTAGCAGCCTGGCCCCGGGGCTACTCCTGCACCTCCACCCACACCCAGCCTGAGGCCAGCTTGCTGTTCCAGAAAGTGCACCATGGCCGGACACCCAGACAGGGGCCTGGAGCACGGCTCTCCCCGGGGTTCAGAGACCCCGCCAAGGGTGGCTAGAAGTCGGGACACCCTGCAGTGCCCCGCCTAAAGAAGAGGGGTAACTGGAGTGGGGGAAGCGGGGGCACGGGGTCCTGGGCAAAGGGCCTCCCCCCTCACCAGGCCTCTGTGCCTGGGCCTCCCGAGCACGGCGCGCCGGGAGCTTGCCCACCAAAGGGAGGCGCTCACAGCGCGGCCTGCTTTCTCCTTGCTGCGTGCTAGGAGGCCAGGAGGGAGAGAACGTCGGGGGGAGTCCCTTCAACAGAAACGACCCTCGTCCCAGGGCTGGGATGAACCGAAGAGCACTGGAGGGGCCAAAACGGAAAGTGGAGCAGGCACTCGGAGTGGGGGGTCTGGGAGGCTGTGCCGGGGGCAGGGTGGCGGCGCCGCTGTCTTGGCGGCGAATGGCCAAGCACCCTTCCAGCTGGGGGGTGGGGGGGTGGCGGCACAGGAGGTGCTACGGAGCCGGGAGCAGCTCCCAGGGGAGCAGGAGTCCCGCCCCGCTTCGGGCCGGGCGGGAGTGCCTCACCTGGGCTCGGATCAGGGCCTCGAAGCTGGGCTGGAAGTAGTCGAGCCGGCTGTGGTAGAAGCGCGGCATCTCGTCCAGGAGCTGCTTGTTCTTGGCCTCGAAGTCATCCCGCACGGGCCGCAGCTCTTCTCGGGCCTGCGCGGCAAGATGCCGGGCTCAGCGCCCCTGCTGGCCTCCCCGGCGTCCACGCTGGGCGCACAATGTGGGGGCGGGAGGGAGTGTGGTGGCATCTGTGCCTTGCTCCCACTGCCCCGGAGTCGGTCCCCAGGTGAAGGAGGCCCTCGCCACGTGTCACCGTGGGGCCCGCGGTCCTCGCCCACCTCTCCCTTCACTTGGTACCTGGTGGAGTTTGGCCAGCACGGGCCCGGTCTTCTCCTTCTCCTCGTACTTCTCCACCTTGGCCTGCAATCTCCGGTAGTCCTGCAGGGCCTGCTCCCGCCGTTTCACCGCCATGTTGAGGCTCGGGAAGACACTGCCGAACCTGCGGACACAGCCCAGGCGCGTGCGGGCTGTTCTTAGCAGCCCGGGGGCCCATTCAGACGTACCTCCCGAGGGCCTGCTCAGCGCCGGGCCCCCCGCTCACACGAGGGGGAGAGCTGAGGCCCCGGCGCTGGCAGAGCTCCTGCGGCTGAGGGTGCGATCTGCGGGAAGGCCGAGGGAAAGAAGGCAGGGCTCAGGGTCACCCCGCTGGCCCGAGAGGAGCCACAGGGGCAGGAAGGCAAGGAAGCCCCTGACGTGGCCACTGCTGCTTCCCCGCCCACGACAGAGCCCCGGCACAGAGCATGGCAGAGCCAGAGACCCCTGGACTGATCTGCCCAACGTCTTCCCTTCATACAGTGAACGAAACAGAGGCCAGAGTGATGGCACGACTTGTCCAAGGTCATCATGAGGTAGTGACCGTCCAGCAGAGAGCTCAGGTGTCCCAGTTCTCTGGCACCTCCCCACCACCTCATGATGCCACCAGCGGGTGACAACTGCAGTCAGAACCTAGTCTTGGCCTATTTCTATCAGCTGACCACAGGAAAAGCAGGAATCCTCTGCTTCTCCCACTGAAAAGCCTACACCGTCAAAGCAGATGTTTGAGGAAAATGGCTCAAGGGCATCTTCTTGCCCCACCACGACTACAAAGGACCACAGGGAAAGGCTGAGGAACGCGCCCTTCACACAGAGTGGCAGCGGACACTTTGGCGCCTGTGGGCATCATCTTTGCGACAAGTGTCATCCTTAACTGGGAAAGGCGACGGCATCTTGAGATAGACACGGGGCAGGACTGCATCCCAGGTAGGGATGCTGGACTTCCCTCGATTAATGAGTGTTGGAGAAGGCAAGAGGCAAACCTGCAAGCAGGTTTTTCTGGGCAGCAGGGGACGGACCAGCCTCCTTGAATGCAAAGCCTGCAGGAGGCGGCACGAGGTGTCCACCCTGCAAATCGGGGGCGCCAGCAGCTCGAGCAGATCTGGTCCCACAACTGAGGTACACGGCGGCGGCAGCGTGGTTATTCGGGGCTGCGAGGCGCAGAGGGGGCGACTCAGAGCCAGGAGCGCGCAGCGGGGACCTCCCCTCCACGAGTGCCCAGCAGCCCCCGCGCCATGTTTAGGGAGGTTAGAGGCCACATCAGGAACGATTCTCTGAGTCTGCCTCTCAAAGGAGCATGCCCACGATTTTGGGTTTCTTTCTTTCTTTTCCCATTTTTATTTAAAATTCTAGTTAGGTGAATTTGGTCTTTAAAAGCCTCAACAAATCAAGAGTGCCCATGACACTGAGTAATGAATATTTTTTTGCCAGAGAACACAGAATATAAATTTGACCAAAGCACTGAATTTGCCAGCCAAGGCTACAGATGCAGGCAGCAGGGTCTGGTGGAACGAAAGGCTTAGACCCCAGAAGGGCACTAAAATGAGTCGCTCCGACCGACGGGGTGCGCCAATGGGCTCACTGCCTAACCGGAAAGGCTAGAAGCGGGTAAGATATGCCCTTAGACAAATCGGTCACCAAATCAACACTGAATGACTGATGTGCCCGCAGAAGGGGTCTCCCCGGTGCTGTGCAAACTGGGTGTGGGGAGTGGCTACCTCCAGGACAAAGGTGTCCCCCCCCCCCCACGGTGGGTCTGAAGGACTGAGACCATTGCAGGGACAGGCCTCACCATTTGTGCCTCTGGTGGGGGCTCTGACGGGTCTCAGTGGCTAGGCAAGCCCCTCTCCCTTCCTGGGAGGAGTGTGGCCAGCAGCTGAGAGGCATGGGACTCAAGGGAGCAGGTGCCATGGGGCCTGAGAAGCCACCACCACCTCCCTGTCCACCCCAGCCAGACTAGGGGCCACCGCTGGGCACCCTCATTCTCTCATTAGAAGTGACCTGATAGGGTGGCCCCAGGGCCTGGGCCTCTGCTGTCCACACTGCTGGTGGCCTGGGGGGGGGGGGAGAGGGGGCAGGAAGCGGCAGGTGGAGAGTTTTCTCCTATTGGGAAAGAGGGCAGCAGCGTGGACACGGCATGAGGGGCACGCTACGGGGGCCCAGCGGGGCGAGCACCGCGCTGGTTGGCCGAGCAGTTCTGGATACCCTCTGACCCCAGCAGCACTTGCCTCTTCGCTCGTCCTCAGTTGTCACCTGGGGTCGACTCCCAGGGCCTGGGTCAAAGGCACCAGAGATGCTGACTAAATGCAAGGACTGGATCAGCTTACCAAGGACACAGGAATCCCACCCGAGGGCCAAGTCCCGGGCGCCGAGGAGGGAGCAAGGCACGGGGCCAGGACTACAGATTTCCACGCGATGCCAGGCAAGCTCAGGGGACAGTGTAAGAGTGGGGGTGCCTCGAGGATGCTCCTCAGCCTCTGGAAGCGAGACCACCTGGCCCCTGTGGGGAGGAAGTGGTTGCAGTGCAAACTGGCCCCGGCTCTCTTAGAGCCTCCAGGAAAACCATTTCTTCACCATGGTAACTTCTGCCTCCCACAATGGTGCCCCTCAGGCACACCAAGAGGCCTCAGGAGGCTTAGCTGGCTTAGGTCACCGCAGATGGGTCACGAGTCACTTACCACCTGGGTGGCTTTGGGACTCCCTAGGGGTAGAGGCAGGGGTCATGCCCTTCTTAAAGAGGGTAAACTGAGGGTGGGCAGGGAGACCAGGCAGTGCTTCTGAGGCGGCTGATGAAAGACTGGGAGCCCAGGGCTCTGTAATCCTCCTTCCGGTTACTGCCCCACTGAGGCCGCACCTCCCCATTAACTATGTGGACACAACACACGGGACCCTGCCGGCTCCCCGTGTTGGGCAGTGTGGGCACTACTCTGGTGTGCAAGGCAAGGAGTTCGTACGGCAGCAGGCCCCGGGTGCGGAGGGTCCGGTGCTCTCTGCTGACCACAGGAAAAGCAGGAATCCTCTGCTTCAGGTCGGGGAGGAAGGGGGCAGGGAGGTGGGGATAGGCACAAGCTGGTGGTCCCTGTGCCTGGGGCCTCCCAGACTTGCTCCCAGGATCCTACAGAGGTACCTGCTGGCTTCAGCTGACCGGGAAAGGTGGGGGACCCAGCTCTCCCTGAGGCCTGAAGTCCACACTTTCACTGGACTGCCACAAAGAAACAAGGCTGGGAAGTTGGACCCCCTCTGCTCAGTTTCCCACGTCCCCCCGATAATTAGCAGTGATGGGGAACACGGAAGTCCCTGGGCCAGGGCCCCAGAGCAGACTCCACCCTCCATAGGCAGCTCAACCCACCGCTTCAGCCCATGGACACCTCTGTCCCATCCTCCTGAGCGCGGGCTGAGCCATTGCAGGGGTGGGGTTCAGGCCTCCCTTTCTACAGATGGGGAAACCAATTCAGAGGAGCAGGGGCCTGGCCAGGGTCGTGGGCTGGCTGGGGGCAGGCGGCCCGCCTAGCACTTGCACCACTCCATTGCACTGCACCACCTCGGCGATTATGGATTATCCGTCCGCACTAGGTCACAAGCTCCTGAAATCCGTGTTGTGTCTACCCTCCGGAGAAGGGAGAACAGGGCTGGGCCGACACCAGACCGTCGCCGAAGCTCTTCCCGGGGTGACTGTCCTAAGGTTCAACCAAACTGCCCCCCACTGGGTGAGCGGTGGGGTGAGGAGGCAGAGAGAGGGAGGAGGGGAAGGGGGAGAAAGAGGCCGGCTGGGAGGTAGGCTGGGAGCAGCCGGCCCTGGTGGGGAATGCCTGCCATCCCTCCATCTGTGCCCACACAGCCGGGATCTTCCACCCACCAGGAAAGGGAAATTGAAAGCATCCCCATCCGACCATGTGAACGCAGCCCAGAGACTGGGGGATTAGAGGCCGAGCCCCGTGGGGGGAGGCTGGGGGCGGCGGGGCGGCCATGTGGCGATGTTCTTCATCAGAGGACAGGAAAGCTGCAGTTTCCTGTTTCCGGTACCGGGGTCCCTGGGAGCCTCTCTCCTGGCAAGAGGCGGCAACACGCAGTGCTGGTTTTATGTGGTTGGGGGGGATGGCATGTCGGCGTTGGGACGGAGAAGGCAGCTGGGGGGGGGCAGGCGGGCAGGCAGGCAGGCCCGGGGGGGCTCAGGCAGAGGTCAGCGGATCCGCTGCGGACATGGTGCCCGCCCCCTGTGCCACTCACCCACCTTCCTGGCAGGTGGTGGGCTGCTGGGGAGGTGGGAAGCAGCCGGGATTTCTCTCCATTTGGCTCTAGAAGCCAGGCATCAGATTTCAAGGCTGCCTCCTTGGTTGTGAAATCGAGATCGGAGTCAGTCCCCTAGTTCTCCGAGCTGGTGTCCCCTGCCTAGCTCTGCCAGCCGTGGGTGTCCACGGCAGCCTCTGTGGTGGCCCCTGGTCCTTCCCACCCAGTTCCCAGCCCTCGGTTGTGGAGACCCAGTCAGAAGGCCACCAGCAATGGAACTCCTGCTGACACACTCCCCTCCCGAGTCAGCAGCCTCCTCAGCACCCAGCTCCTCGTGGGACCCTGCAATCCAGGGCCCATGGAAGGAGTGGGGTGCAGGGAGAAATCCCTTCCCACTGAGGCCGAGCCTCCAGACAGCCCTGCCTTAGAAAGAGCTTTCCCTCACCCCCTTCCCCCTCCTTGGACCTGAACAGGGAGTGAAGAGCCCCATCACCCCACCGCCAGGGGCTGGAGGACCAGAACCTGCTCTCTTCATCTCCGCTCGGCCCCGATCCAGGCCTAGTGGTGATTAGCGGAGCCTCGTTACCCGGGCCTGGTGAGGCAGCTGCCGGGGACCACCACAGAAGAGGTAATACAGTGCAGCTGCCGGGCTGGGCCGGGAGCCTTTCTAGGTCAGAGTCCGCTTGGGAGAGGCCGGGGAAGAAGATGAAGTGATCGGGAGCTTCAAGGCACCGCTCCTGCCTGTTCCCCCCCCCCCCCCCCCCGGGGACTCAGGGAGTAGGCCCGTCTGATCACTGCCCAGGGCCTGCCTGAGAGAAAATGAGTCTCACAGAAGAATTTCTGACCCTGACAGGTCACGAGTTGGGGGCCTTCCCAGGCAGCACCCCGCTGCCGCGCCCTTCCCCATGTGCGGCCACCCCCACGTTTCAAGAGCCCAGCGCTGCAGGCAGCCGCTCTCCCAGTGCGGCGGGGAGATGAGAGGCCTTGCGCAGCCCCGGCGGAGGGCCGGCCAAGAGCTCTGCTCGCCTAATTCGGCAAGCTCCGGGCCCTCCGCTTCCCGGTCAGGAACAAAGGGGAAACGGGCCAAGTGACCGCCCGAGCGAAGGCCGTCTGCTGCGGCAGATCAGAGCGCCTCGCGGTCACCGAGGGCGCCCGGGCCAGGCGCGCACTCTGGGGCCACCGCGGGTCTCACCCTGAGGGCCCCGGGTCACATGGCTAGCGTCCTGCTGAGTTGTGGGTCAGCCCCGCGTGCGTCTGGAGCCAGGCTGCTAGTGATGTCATCTGGTGGCCAAGTGGCCAGCGGGCCTGCCTTTCCCATACGTGCCCCGAGCCCAGGTCCCTGAGGCCTGTGGTCCCCACATGACCTTTACTCACTTTTTTAAGGGTTCAATCACGGTCTTTTGAATCTGGTTCACCTGTTAAAAGAAAAAACCCAATGACATCAACACTGAGGGGAAGTCAGACTCTTCCTCAAACGGGAGGCTCCAGGTTCCTGAGAAGGGAAAGGCGGCCTCGGGGCTCTGCTGAGAGCCCCGGGCAGGGGCGAGGCCGCGGGGGGTACCGGCGAGGCAGGGCACCCCTAACTCAGGGAGTACCGTTCTGGTTCCATGTCAGCGCTGGCAGCCCTGCTCCGGGCGGAGGCCGGGTGGACGACGACAGCAAGGGGGAGGGGCTGCGGGCGTGCAGAGCTACCCGTCTCCCTCGTGGTCTCACAGTGAGCGGGCCACGGGAAGCAACCAGGGCCCCGGGCAGGGCCAGGAAAAGAGCTCCCAGGGCTTGCAACACTCAGGCCTCAGAGGGCTTGAAGGCGGCCGAATCGAGGACTGAGCCCCATTAAGGACTCCGTGAAGGCCCTCCACCCACACAGAAGCCGTGAGAAGGGGGAGAGCAAGACCCCCACTTACCTTTTCCTGGTTGAAGGCATCCATCCGCTTCATGGCCGTGTCCAGAGCTGTCACCATGTTCAGGAAGTCCTGGTCTTGCTCGCAGAGGGGATTGGAGAGCAAGTCCAAGGATATCTTCACGGCAGATTTGGACATGGCTGTAAGAGGTCAAGGCTCAGTGAGCCTAGGATGGGACAGGCTTCAAGGTCTTGTCGTCAGGACCCCCATCCTCCTTCAGTCCAGGGGCCGTACCCTGACCTCCACCCCGGCCACAGACCAGAAAAGCATCAAAGTACCACGGAGCCAATGAGTCACGAGTCCTTACTGTACAGTGTTTGTTCCTGACCAACTGATGGTGCTCTGGGTAATTCTTTTGAGTAGCTTTACCTTTTGCAATGACTTAATTTTCTGAACTCTAGATTTTAACAGAATCATTTTGGTGGGAAGCTGTAAAAAAATACTTATTTCTAGCTCTACAGATTCTAATTCAGTAAGTCTGGAATCCAGGAATGTGCATTTTTAAAGAAACTCTTGGGGCGCCTGGGTGGCTCAGTCGGTGAAGTGTCTGCCTTCGGCTCAGGTCATGATCCCGGGGTCCTGGGATCGAGCCCCGCATCGGGCTCCCTGCTCAGCGAGGAGTCTGCTTCTCCCTCTCCCTCTACCCCTCTCCCTGCTTGTGCTCTCTTGCTCTCTCTCTCAAATAAATAAAATCTTAAAAAAAAAAAAAATCTCGGGTGCCTGGGTGGCTCGGTTGAGTGACTGACTTCAGCTCAGGTCATGCATGATCCTGGAGTCCCAGGATCGAGTCCCGCGTTGGGCTCCCTGCTCAGCGGCGAGTCTGCTTCTCCCTCTGCCCTTCCCCCTGCTTGTGCTCTCTGGCTCTCTCTCAAATAAATAAAATCTTTTTAAAAAAAAACAAAAAACAAAGTTTCCAGGTGGTTTGGAGGTGAAGCTCGGTTTGGGACTCCCTCACGGACAAGAGTAACAGCGTTCCACACCAGGGCTGGCAAACATACCATACAGGGCTAGAAATCAAGAGGTTAGGCTTTTGGGGCCACATGGTTTCTGCTGCCACTATTCAACCCTGCCACAGACAATACCTGCAGAATGGGGGCACGGGCCCTACGGAGCAAGCATGGCCCTTTCCCTGCCCCCCTGCCGCTCTAGACGTGTGTTCACCAGCAACGGAGACTTAAAAACCTGTACCAGACCAAGAACTCCAAAGCTGCCAACAGGTTCCCATCCCTACCCGTCCCCCGCCGCCGTTTTATTCAGGGCTCCAACAACCCGGGAGATGTCTGGGGTAGTGTATTTTGGCTCCACTTTCCAGATGAGGCAGGTGAAGCTCAGAAGAGCTTCTGATATATATATATAACTCCTTCAGGGTCAGACAGCCGCCAAGTGCTGAGCCAGGCCCAGCCTCTCTGGGCACCTGCCTTCTGCTCTCCCAGTGATCCGGCCTGGAGACACTGTGGGCAGGCCCCACGGGCTCTGCCCATGTGTCTGCTTATGCTGTCCAAGGTCATTTCCCCACGGACGGAGACCACCGCCCTGCTGTAGCCTCGTTCACATGTTCTGACACCCTGCTTGACGTACGGGGAGCCTGAAACTCACAGGGCAGCTCCGAGGCGGGAGGGAGCTGTATCGGCCGCTCCGGAGGTCTTGGTCCCATACAAGTTTTCAGGTCTCCATTATTTGTAAAGAAAAATTCTAGAGGGGCAGGAAGAGAGGCCAGAGGAAGGGCCTGCCTGCTCCATGCTCTCTGTGCCAGTTTCAGGGTCTCAGGGGGAAAACAAGTTTCTGAGTGTATTTCTTACTATATTATGCCATGAATTTAAGATGCTAGCAACTGCAAGACACATCGTTACCGCACAAACCATCAAGAAAGGACAAAAATGCCAACTAAACGCTATCAAGTGCTACAGTGTCTTGATTTCAGAGATGTTATTAAATGTGAAAAAAACGTCTCTGCATCGATGAAATAAGGGCCACTCCAGTTCGTGACAGATGTGGTCTTGCCGCCCACTGTATCCGAGGAGGGAGCCGCTCTCAGCCCAGCCCCAGCCCACCGTGGGGAAGGGGAGAAACAGAAGCCCACCCGGGGGCCCCTCCTCACTCTGGTGGATGACCGGCCCACCCAGAGCCCTGTCCTGGCTTTCTCTCGAATCTGGGAGCTTGCTGCCCTCACCCAGCAAACAGGCAAAGTAGGGGAGAAGCCCGGAAACGTAAACCTCCCAGAAATGTTGAAGCAATGGAGCAAAAAACCCTCTTTCAAAGCTGTGAAGTGACTTTGCAGGCTTAGGAGCGAACATCATGTGTAACTTGCCTGGATTATGAGATGATCTCAGACAGTATAGTGAAAGGATAAAAACTTGGACAAAACTGGAAACATGTTTGAAAGATTTCTTCCACTAATTTTTTTTTTTTAATATTTGAGGAAAAAACCCTGAAAAGTCAGGATGGGGAGAAGACTTTCCTCCCAATTTTCCTTTTCTTTCCTAAAGCCTTCACATTTCATGCCTTTGTCTCCATCTTTTTTCGAACCATTTGAACCATCTGAAGTCGATTAACAGCGTGGAATTACCCCCCTCCCCCCGGGAATCCTCAGCGGCCTCTGTGAGCACTGCCGGACCCCCACTCTCAGGGACTGGGAGGGTGTGGCCAGCCCAGCGCAAACTGGGAGACTGGTGGTCTTTGAACCTTAAAGAGAGCGGGGGTTTTGGACGCCACATGGGTCTCTGGAGCCCCGATGCAACCTCAGGATGTAAGGGTCAACAAAGACCGTCACGTGCAGACGATCTTGTTTGAGCACACAGGACGGGATTTTTCGATCTTGTTCAGGCAGCTAAGGAGATTCTGAGATCAGGAAATTGGATTCCCCTGAACTGTCTGGAGCAGCAGTTCTCAAACTGGGGTCCCCCGACCAGCTGCAGCAGTACTGCCTGGGAGTGAGCCTTCCAGGGACTCTTACACACCAACTGTGGGGCGCAGGACTTGGGTAGGGCTGGGGCGCCGCTGTTTCAGGAGGGCCAGACTCCGCTCCTGACTCCGGGCTCCAGGGCTCCCCCGTTTATCCTGCTTTCTTTATTGGAAAACCATGCTTTCCTCTTTATGGCTCCCTGACGTTCTGCTTCCAAAGGTGCTTACTATGACACCTTCCCTTCACCTGTGCTCGGACCATACGGTCGTCTGGAAAAGCACTCAGGACAGGAAGCGGTAGGTCACAGCCTCTCCGTTTTCAAGGATTTTATTTATTTATTTGAGAGAGAGCGAGAGCACAAGTAGGCAGAGCGGCAGGCAGAGGGAGAGGGAGAAGCAGGCTCCCCGCGGACCCTGGGATCATGACCTGAGTCGAAAGCAGCCGCTTCACCGACTGAGCCACCCAGGCGCCGCTGTCACAGCCTCTCCTGAACTAGAAAGGCCGTGGCGAACGATAAAGACGCCACCCAGGTAACTGGAGCTACCCACAAAACAAACAATAGATGGGCTCTGAAATCAGACCCTTGGCCCGCCGCACACACCGTCTGGAGACGCCGGGGCAGTCGTGTTCAGACCCACGCGCGTCCTCTGGATGCGTGGTGGCGTGTGGCTCTGTGCACAGACCACGGGAGGCAGCCCGGACGTGCCGGAGGGCCACCGTTGCCCCCCGGGCCAGGCCTGGCTTGGGGATATGCCACCTACCCAGGTCAGCATCGGTGCTCTTCTTCATGTCCTTCTGCAGCCTCCTGGTCTGCTCCTCCAGCCTGCAAGGCAGGGGCAGGGCCTGGGCACCTGGCACCACCAGCTTGCGCCGGCCCCCTTCCTGCCCATCTACCTGAGTTAAGCCCAACCTGACGCTCTGCATGGCCTGCCAGGAGAAGGGGCCCCAGGGCTGCGGGGATTTGTCCCACTGACGGGAGGGCCACCCGCAGCTCTGCATGAGGCCAAGCCCCCAAAGGCTATGAGTTAACGACTCTCTCACTCAGCTGGGGAAGAATTTCTGGCAGGCTGTGAACCGAGCTGCCCTCGGCTCCCAGGCTGTGGCGGGACAGAGGAGCGGCCTGCTGCTGGCCGTGCCGGACGGGGCAGTGTGGGAATTGAGCCCTGGCGGGAGGCTCCTGCCCTTCTCCCCACCAACCGCCGTCCTCCTGGGGTTCAACACTCACTGCTGGAGTTTTCCATACTCCCTCTCAAAATCTCTCTCCACCTGTAACCAAAGAGATAACTCAATCATCGGAGAAATGACAACACGTTGGAAAAAATCTGCCAGCCTACTGAAACTCTCCGCACACCCTCCCCCGGGCTGTGGAGAACCACCCCGTCCAGTCCATACAAGCACCTGCAGATCGTTAACGACACAGTAACCCTGTGTTCCCAAATTAATTAAGTGTTTGATTTAGGGCAAAAGACTCCCCTCCCAGACGGGCCAGCCAGGCAAGTAGCAGCGGATTGTGGCTCTGCTCCTCCACCACAGGGAGCCAGGCGCCCGGCTGTGTTCCCTCTCCTCCCCCGCCCCTGCCATCGTGTGGCAGGCGAGGTGCTCAGAATGTGACTGAGACTCAAGCAGCCCAGCGGGGAGGCAGGCGGGTCCCCTCCCACTCCAGGCCCTGGTTTCCTCACAGGGCCTACCACCTGCGAAGTCTGAGGTGGTTCAGGGTGGATCAAGAAAGCCCCTGTCTCCGCTCTGTGTGCTGTGAGGTACCGAGCGCAAATACTATTACTACTGACTCAGGCAAGGCTCTCTTAAAATTCTTCCTAAGTTATCAGGTTTCCCCAATGCCAGCAAAATTTACATTGGATGGGTGCGAGTCCTGATCCCAACTCTGCCGCCTACACGTCAGGTAAGGTCAAGAAAGCTACTTGCACGTCTAGCGCCTGAATGTCCCCATCCATCAACCGGGGCCCTGGCAATGGTCTCTTAGGAGAGTGGCCTGTGAGGTGTAGGACATCTGAGAGCCACAAGGAGGGGACGGAGGCCTCTCCTCCTTCCCTTCCACACAGGCAGGACCAGCTCCCTGGGCGGCTTGCTGAGCCTCTGGGCTGAGGTGCTCCAGGAAAACCAGCTCACGCTCGCGGGGTGCTCACCACGTGCTTCCACAACTGGAGGAGGTAGGTGTACGAATGGCCCTCCCTGTACTCAGGAGCTCCCTTGGCCAGAGGTGAAGCCAACTGCGCAAGATCACGCCACCAGTGAGTGGCAGAGCTGGGATGGGGACACGGGTGGCCTGGCTCCAAGGCCTGGGCTCTTAACAAGCATTCTGAGAAAGGGGAAAAAGGTATTTGCTGATGAATTAAGGTCATGACCTAAGAAAGGTGCCTTCTTGGCTGCTCCCCGAGACTCCTGCCAGTGAGAGCCCTGAACCCCGATTCTCTCCTGACAGGCTAGCGGAAGCTCACGGAACGCGAAACTGCAAAGTGTCAAGGCCCCACTGTTCTTCACCAGTACACCCTTCCGTCATGGTGCCCCGTGAAGGAGCATTCGGGAGCCCCATGGACCCCATACTCCTCATGTGCATTTAGGTAAACTCAACACAGTCCCAGAATGGCAGAACATTATTTGGGCCAATTATTTCATGTTACGAGTGAGGGGAACGAAGCCCGGAGGTGGGGGGTGATTTACGGAAGGATGTAGGGCTAGAATTCAGACTCCTAGCTCGGAACACTCCCCTGCTTTGAAAATAACATTCATTAATCCCACAAACATTTATTGAGCACCTATTAAGTGCAATGCTTTCTGCCAGGTGCAAGGACTCCACCGGTAACTACACCAGACGTGGGCCCGATGGGACAGATGGAACAGAGTCACGTACAAGCGTACGTGTGTGACCCAAACCGTGGGCAGGGCCCCGTGAGAAGGGCACAGAGCACCTGCCTAGCCAGGGTCCCAGGGCATGACAACGTGTCACCACCCTTGCACGGACATACCTCACCTTCCTCATCTGAACTGTAAAACTGAGAGGCAGGAACTTCACAAAGCTGTGAAGTTCACCACTCGTTTCCCCTCATCCTACAGTTTCAACAGACCACCCCCCCCATCCAGGAACCTGACATCTTCATCATTGCCTTCCTTATAATCCATCAAAAGCTGCTCTAGAGAAATTCAAAATTCGCTCCCACTAAAGCATATATTCCTGATAAAAGCTTCAAGTGCCACCTATCCCGGGGGATGTGCAGCTGGGCAGGAATCAAAGTCTCAGCCAAAGCCTGAAGAGCGTCTGGCGAGACTGCAGGCAGGGGCTTTGTTCTGGGGCGGGGAGCCTGGCCCGGGCCCAGCAAGCCCGCACTGAGGCAGTCCAGCCCCTTCTCCAGCACTGCCGCCGAGGACGGTGGGAGACAGGAGCGAGCAGAGACAGACGAGAACTGAACTCTGCTACCAGCTGTGCAGCATTAAAAATACTACCTAACACTCTGAGTCTCAGTTCCTTTCCTAGGGGAACAGGATCACTCTGGTTAGCCTTTCCCTGTGAAGATTTCCGGTGGCTGACAAGGCAATGGGGTAGCATTGTCGGCCCCGCCGGCTTGCTTGGAGGATCCCCCAGCAGTCTGTGCCGAGCCCAGAGCATGGTGCCTGGCCTGCTGACAGCGTCTCCTTGCTCCTCTCCTACATGCGGGGGCGCTGGGAGGACCAGAGCAGTCTGGGGGTGCAGACCAGACCGTAACCCCTTGGCTGAGAGGAGGGGAAGCACACAGCATGTGGTCGGTTGATAGCTAGGCCTTTGGCTAAGCCTGGATCCTGTGCCTGGGGGTTGTACCGGGGCCTCCTTTCACCGGACACATCCCCTCTCCTACTTCGTAGGATGTGACCGCTAAGCAGAGTCTTCACATACGAAAAGCCTTTTTTCTCAAAAGAACGAAATTAAATGAAGGAGGTCTTGGTCAGAATCCAGCTCTCCTGAAGATCAAGAACACGGAGCTGGTGCTCCTGAAGGGGAGGCGGGCGCACAGAAGGCCTGCAGACCCACCGGAGCCACGGCCTTGGCTCCCGGCACTCTCTTTTGCAATCCCCACGTGTGCTGATGTGTGTGTGGGATGTCAGACAGCACCTGGTCCCCCTGGCCGGCACTGCTTGGACTTGCACAGAGATGGAGCGACTGTGGGGTTCCAGCAAGGTTGGCTCACTCTGGCTGGTGAGGAACCTGAGGTCTCACGCTGGCAGCTGGGAAGTATGTCGGGGTGGGGCTGGATCCTTCTACTGCTGCTCAAGGCCATGAGACAGGCTGCCATGTCCATGAATGTTTCCCTCCTCTGCTTCTGGTGGCCAGGTGTGGATTGCTCCTAAAGCTCGCTGGGCTCAAGAGCTTTCTCCTCCCCTGGGGAAAGATCCAAGGCAGCACAACGAGGGTTCTGGACCCTCGGACAATGGCTAAGGGAACAGAGAGACACACTGGAGTCTTAGTCCAAGGTACATCCATTCTGAGGGAAAGAGCCAAACACAAAAGATCTGAACATCTTTGTATGCTTGATGCTTCTGCCAGAGAGGCGATTGGCCCCCGGTCAACAATGCAAGTGTAAACACATGTGCAGACTGTCAGCGGGCCTGGCCGCAGGGTTAGCGCAGGGGGACCGAGCCCCACACCGCAGGCCGCTCCCTGCATTCTCCAAGGCCTCAGGCTGTTCCCCGGGGTCAGACTGGCACAGAGCGCGAGTCGGCGCTTGTGAAGTGAACGAGTGGGCTGAGCTCCCACCCAAAGTGCCACTCGTGAAGTGCAGGAGAGACGGGCAGGCAGGGCCGGGGCTGCAACGCTGGAGCTACGCTGTGTCGGATCAGAGCTGAGGCAGACCGCACGCCAGGTGTTCTAAGAAGCCTCTCTCTTAGGGGTGTTGGTGCGGCGGGGGGGGGGAGGCAGCTTCCCTTTGGTCTGTTGCAACAAGATTAAGTGAGGCTGAGAGACTCTCCACTCGGCAAGTGAAAATCTTTCTCAAGTGAAGGCTCGACATGGCACCACGGCGGATGCTCTTCTGCCCTGACGCTGTGGAGCGCCTCCCCGCTACGGGTCGTGCGCTTTCCTTCCCTCAGGAGACCCAGGGTGACTGCTTCAAAGAGCTCTTCCCTCCTTGCGGGTTACAAGGGAGGAGCGGCTTCTGCCACGCCAAGATGCTCCAGCTACTTTATGGGACTGGAGGGGCTGGGCGGCGGGGGGGGAGGGGGGCTAAGCGGAAGGTTGGGACTGGGAGCTGGGGGAGCTTCCGTCCCTCCCGCCCACTGCGATGGCCAGCCCCTGCAGAGAACGTGCTATTCCAGCCAGAGCCCCGACAATAATGGGATTCGTGTTAATGACCTGGGCACAGGAGAGCAGTGTGAGCAAACACACAATGCTCTCTTTGTGTCTGACAGCTGGGTGCCTTGAGCCAAAAACCTCCTGAAACTCCCTGAAGATAACATGAGTGTTTCTTCCCATGACAAGGGGCACCAGGACTTCCCGTCAGCAGGCAGCCACATCTGCCCCTCTCTGACAGCGCCTGGGCAAGAAGAGCAGTGCGTCACCGACACGGCTGCCCGGGCTCGGCCTGTGCTGGGGGCCAGGAGGGGCCTGTGTGGCAGAGAACGAGGCCGAAGGCGCAGGCTCTCGCTCTTTATACTTCAGTGCCTCTGGGGAGTTGAGGGAGCAAACAACTCTCGTCCCAGCCCTAACCAGGCTTTGCTTCCTTGTGAGAGATCAAAGCCCGGGCCTACCATTCCCCCCCGCACTAGGGGATCTGGCTGCTGCGGATAGGCTGCGTCCCTGGTGGTTTAGAAAGAGTCAAATCAACTCTCTTCCCATCACGGAGTTAAAATTTATTGAGGGCTCACTATGTGCCGGACGCTGTGTTAAGTGCTTGGCCTCATGTAGGACTCCGAATACGTCAATGGCATAGGTACCAGGTTCATCTGCACTTAAGAAGGAGGAAAGCAGGGCTCAGAGAGCATAAGGGCCTTGTCCACGGCCATCACACACAGCACGTGGCAGAGAGGTGGGAATCCAGGCAGGAAACCTCCCAAATCCGGCTTCTTAACCACTACTCGATGCCCAGTCTGTCTGGGGGAGCAGATTCCAAAAGTCAAAGGACCACGATTCTATCTCAAACAAGACCCCGGTGAGGAGGTGAAGAGGCAGGCCCGGGGCCCATCGGCGGGCCTGTCTGTAGGGCCAACCGTAGGCACTGGGAGTATACCTCTGCCCTTCCTCTGGGGAGTCCTCACCACTCCTCAGACGAAAAGACTCAGAGATCTGTCAAAAAAAAACTCTGGTAAAGAAGCTAGGAACTGAGTTGTAGCCTATACTTTTCTGTGGAGAACAGTGGCTATCTCCATAAAGGTAAGGGTGTTGGGAGAGTTTTCTGTTTGTCTGTTTGTTTTTTGGTAGTGAGTGTTGGGAATAAAAGACCCTTCTCAAAACCACTTCCCTTTCAGATCTGCCCTGGATTAAACTCTGGAGACTCAAAGCCACACCTTCCCACTTCCTGTAGCCGGCTAGGGCCCAACACTTGCACGCCCAGATTCTTTGCGCTTCAGCTGAGAGCCTCCGCAGATGGCCGGCCTCTGCATGGGAGGTAAGCTCTCTGTCATCCTCGGCCCGCCTTCACTTGAAAGAGAAACTCAGGCCCCTTCCTTTTAAGTGGCCTGACTTTGGATTTTCCAAAGACTGAGCCATCGGTCAGATGTGTGCTGAACTGCCCTTCCTGCCAAACTGCAGCAGTATCTTTCCTGTAGTTCTGAGTCCTGAGCCAAGGCGGGCCAAGGTTATTAGGCCGAGGAGAACTGTCAGGAGCTCCAGCAGGCAGACGGTGCTGGGCACAAGGAGAGGCAGTGTGCCGTTAGGCTTTCCCACAGTAAAACCAAGAGCCTGCTTAGATTGGTGGCTGAGGGGATCCAAGAGGCCATTCTTCACCAGAATTCCCAAACCATGGGAGACCTTCCCAGCACAAGTGAGGTAGCATAAAGGAATGGAATGTGTACGGAACAGAGGCTCCAACTTGGGTTCCAACTTGGGTTCAGCTTTGTCAGTGTTAGTTTTTTTTTTACAACCTTAGAAAGTCACTGTGACTTCGTGGGCCTTGGTTTTCTCATCAGAAAAATCAGGTTGGACTAGATGATCCGTAAGGGCTTCCCATCTCTAACTTTCTAAGAATCTATGACTCCTCTCCCATTCTGGAGATGAAATAGGGATAAAAACTGTGGGTTCTCAAGGGGGTAGGATTCAATCATGCTTTCCTGCTGACTCTGGGTCCTGGCCAAGATGCCCTTGGCAGTGGAGAGAAAGGGACCCCCCTGGAGAAGCTTCCTGGTCTTCACGCAGCCTGAGGTGGGGGCCTATGTTTCAGGAGCCCTCTTAGGAAAGCACAGACTGCACGCCAGGTTGCAGAGATGGGCCGTTCAGAAGCAATGGATTCCTCCTCACCCATCACCTACCTCCTCGACCTGCGCGAGGATGATGGAGACGAGCCCAGGCTGATCTGCGGAAGGAAAATGTCCCAGGCTAGGAGGCCCCTGAAAGCCACAGTCTAGGTGAGGTTCTAGAGCAACACGGCTGGGAAGAAGACAGCCGGGGTGCAGCCCTCCCAGGCCCATGATGTGCTGCGTCAAAGTTCTGGTTCTCTGCAAAGGCCACGTGAGACAGACTGAGCCTCAGAATGAAAGAATCGGGTTACTCACTGTTTTGGGGACAATCTGTTTCTTGGGCTGCCCAATCTTGAAAGGAATCCTATGAGAGACAGAGACAAAGGGGGCTTTTAGGAGAAATGGGGAAGGATGTGGCTGAAAAGCATTGATGAAGTCTAGGCCGCTGTCCCCCAGGAGGGCAAAGAACGGTGGCGGCTCGCTCCCAGCCCTTGTGCCACCCGCCCCGTGGGTTTTGGGCCAGCGGCAGCCAGGCTGGGCTCCGGAGTGTCAGCTGGAAGTCCTGGGCACCGCCTTCTGCCCCAGAGCATCTGTCCTACCAAGAGTCTGGCGTGCAGAGGTGAGGGCGGGAAAGGGGAGACACTGTTCGACTCACAGTCACTGTATATCTGTGTCCTGAGGAGCTGCAAAGTCAGAAATTATAGGTTCAGCAGGGTAGCTATCATCCTTGAAAACAAGCGTTTAAAAAACACCATGAGCACCACTTCTCGTCTGTATTAGGTGTTTCACTACTTCTCTATAGAGGGACAAACAGTAGCCCTGCAGAGCTGCTTCTGTGGCTGGAGAGGGATGACAAACTAAAGGGGCATTAAGGACCAGCCAGGCTAGGTTCTTTCTGGTAAGAACTGACAAAATTGAACTGTGGCTCAAAGTCTGGCCCAAGTCTGTCCGGAACTTGCTAGGAAGCTCTGCACCTAAGGTTCCCCACTTGGAAACGGACGACAGTTTGCATAAACAGAAGGAAGGTCAAGGTCTAGGCTCTAAACCAACCTACCACTGTTGCCTCCACCTCTGAGGAGCAGGCCACCCTCTGGCAGGTAAGGACTGCCCTGGGTTTCATTTCCTACTCTGTGAAAGGATAGGGTTAAACTGGTAATTCAGAAGCTGCCTTGAGGCACTGAGAATTCTGAAGTGTGCCAATGGCTGGAGAAAGGAGGCTCCCCAAAGCCCCTGAGCTAACAGTGAGTTAAGCACCCCTGGGATCAGCTCAGGGGACAGGGCAACAGCAGGAGAGCCCTGAGGGGACAATGCCGCTCCTACTCCCACTCCTTTCAGTGCTCAGGACGCTGAAGTCCCTTCCCGTTCAAACCTCCCGCTTCCACCCATCCACACCCGCCCCTTCCCTCTGCACGCCCTTCTGCCTGAGCCTGCTTTCTCTTGGCCCAAACTGACCAACACTGTTGCTAAACCCAATGGTATAATTAACCACCGATAATAACCCCAGACAACGATCCGGTGGAGAGGATGGGCCAGCCTGAGTCACAGTGGTTTAAATTTAATTTCTGGAGGACATCCTGTTTATTGTTAACCCAGCCCAGTAATTTGGGAGCATTAACCCTTTGGGGGCTGGCTGACTCACGTGGCTTCTGTAAACAAATAGTCAGTGGCTATATAATTAGCAGAGGGAAAAGGTAAGCTCTGGAACTGAAAAGGAGAGAAAAGAATTGCTCTTCCCCTTCTGCAGATCTAAAGGACAAAGGTTAGGGGAGCGGAGCTCTGCAGTCCCCTCCTCCTCTTGCTTTCCCCCACCCCCCCACCCATTACTCTTCCCAAAATTAGGGATCGGAGTTGACTCAATGGTTTTGGACAGCGAACAACTGCCCTCAAGGACCATTTTGGTGACAGTGCACATGAGGTCCTGGTGGCACTGAGAAAAGACTGACTCTGTTCTGTGCGAAGCATGTTGTGGTATAACAAGCTCTAGACCGGGAATCAGAAAGCCCGCTAATCAGAAAGCCCACTCTCCGCCTCTGACCAGTTTTGTGATATGGACAAATCACGAGCTCTCTGGAGCTCAGTTTCTTAAACTCTGAAACAAAGGAGTTGGACTAGGGGGTCCCTTCGCCCGTCTAAAACTTTCCTTCTAAACTGAATCTTTGTTGCAGGAACATGGGAGCCAGATGAGAATTCTCCAGAATTCTCACAGTGGTCTTCGAAATGATGCTAACTTGGGAGTCTAGGACTACAGACTAGCTACAAAGAAATTAGAAACTTCGATGCTATTACTTGTGGTGCCACAGCCTCTCTAAATCTCAATTTGGAATCACAGTATTTTTAGAATTGCAAGTTACCATAGAAATTGTTCCAGTTCAACCCTCTTATTTTGCAGATGGGAGAGCCAATCTGGAGAGGTCCAGTGACTCGCCCAGGGTCATGCTGCTGGCTCACAACTGAACCAGGAGTAAACAATCCCCTTCTCTCTTCGCAACTCATGGTTTGCCGCTCGTTCACATGAATTTGTTGTATTTCTTTGAAGGAACTAAGAAAAATCATCTGATCAAACTACCTAACCTTAACATACTATGGAATTTCAAAGGGGCTCCTTGTTTTTTAAAAGATCGGAAACACAAGAAATGAAGAGAGCAGAGTTATCGGGAGGAAGGAGGCTGTGCTGATCTGGATCCTTCTACGCAAATGACAGGTTTCGTGCACCATGCTGACTGTGTGCAAAATGTCACCAATAATGTTGTCAGGACAACAGGTATAAGACTTGGACTGTCCAGGGCAACTGGGATATACGGCCACTCCACCCATACGGGATGCCTTCCCTTCTCCAGGCTGCATCGAAGCTGTTCTCAAGTCCAAAACCTTGCTTGCCTTCTTCTAGATGTCTAAGACTTTATTTGGCATTTAAAAAGTCTGCCTTTTATAGTTAATTGAAGTTTATCCCTTTAAAAAGTAAAATATAATCATCAGAGAAAACTTGGGAAATACAGGAAAGTATGAGAGGGAGGGAAGGAGGGAGAGAAGGGGAGAGGGGGAGAGAGGGAGACAGAAAGAGAGGGAGAGAGAAAGGGAAGGAAAAGAAGGGAAAAAACCAAAACACAGCTCACAGTCTCATATCTAAAGATAACCAAGGCTAATGTTTTGGTGTTAATTATATTTTCAAAGTTTGCAGAAAGAAAAAAATCTGAAGCAAATATGCCAAGTGTTAGTAGTGGTTAATTTCGGGTGGTGTGAGTGTGATTACTGTTTTCTCCTTTGCACTTTCCGTATTTTTCAAATACACGAAAAAAAACCCCCTTGTTTCTTACTTGACTACAAAAATAACACCTGATTGGTGTCAAACACTTGGAAAACATGGAAAACACAAAGAACACACACACACACAGAGAAATAAACAGTAACACCCTGAATCTGTGTGTACATACAATGTACATGGGTGTATATGTATATTTACATAACTTTTAAAGAACAAAGGAAACGTACCATGAAGGCTTTTCTATGCCAGTATGCAGTTGCCATCAGGCTGACTTGTTCGAGCTACCTAGTATTTCATTCACCATTTTATTTCTGTGCCCCACATCACTTACTGGTGGTCATTTCAACTGTTTCAGATTTTTCTTCTATTATAAAAAAAAACTCTTAATAGTGAAATCTTTGTGTACATCAAGGATTACTCACAAAGGATAAATTCTTAGAGTTGGAATTGCTGGGTCAAAGGATATATACATGTCCAAGACTTTGATATATTTGCCAAACTGCCCTAGAGGCAAATTGAGACAGTTGACATTTTTTAAAAGATTGAAATGGTTTAGATTTTACCACTAGCCCTTTGGCCTGTTTTTCAGGATTTTTTTTCTGGCTTAGTGTTTGCCTTGCCCTTTTGTACATGTGTGTTTAATGTACGGAAGCTTCTGATCGGTATGAAGTCAAACCTACCAAATCTTTTTCCTTTACGATGTCTTCGTTTGGTGTCTCTCTGAGAAAGAACTGCCCTCTCCAACCCGACATATAAAAATTCACCTAAATTTATTTTATTGGTTTCATTTTATCAACCTGAGTTTGCTTTCATCCGAGTTCTACGTGGGCAGAGTTTAATAAGACAAGGTTTGTTAAGTGAGACATTAGGTTCTGCCCTCCCTCCCCCACCCACATCTCACTTGCCCAAGACAAGCGCTTTTGACTGCGCTGGTTTTATTGGCATCTACCTTTGCATCTCTAAATAAAAATGCTTCTATTGCTATCTCTTGTTAGGTTTTAGGCACTAGCTCCTTTTTGTTTTGGAAGGGGAAGATTTAAGGAACCTTCCTTTAAAGAAGACAACCCTTTCCAGGCCTCCACCCCCATGACACAAAGGCACATCTGCATCTCCTCTTCTCGATACAGTTATGTGATTTGGTTAGATCAATACTAAGTAAACTATTAGGAGAATCATATGATTTCTTTTCCTTCCGACAAGTGGTGGCGGCCAGCAGATTTTTCCACCTCAGCCAAACCTTCAGCAGACTGCAGCGTTTGGAGCCAAGCCCCCCAGCTAAACCACTCCCAAATTCCTGACCTGCAGAAACTGGTACTGTTGTTTTGAGACACTATGTTGTGGGGTAATTTGTTACACGGCAATACGTAACTAGTAACACTGCATGTTTTTGGTTTCCCTGAGACTGTCATTTTTCTACAGATTTATCCCTCACTCTATCTCCGTTGTCTCAATCCACTGTCAACCTGTTTATTTGTATCAGGGGTTCACTTCTGGAAGCAGTGTCCACGGCAGCCTCTGAGCAGCTCGGCCCCTGGAGCACAGCTGACAGCCCAGGCTCTCCCCTTCTTTCCTCACACAGGTGCCTTCCGCCTCTCCCAGGAATTCTTGACACCTGGAATAGCGTCTTCCTCTTTGTTGGTTTACTCCTCGTTTGGGTGGAGTAAAAGTGTGTGCGAGATACTTTTTTTTGAGACTTTGCATAACAAAAACCCTTTGTACTCTGCCTCACACCAGTTAGTTTGGGTACAGAATGTGGGCTGGACTTAATTTCTTTTCAGAGTCTCAAAGGCACTGCTTCCCCGGCTTCTCCTTTCCCAGTACTACTGTGGTGGTGAAGTCGAAATCATGCTGATTTCTATCCTTTGTAGGTGACCTACTTCTTCGCACAAGCTTATTGGATCACGTTTGTCCCCGGTGGTGTGAAATGTCACAAGGATGTACCTTGTGGGTCTAATTTCACTCACTGTGCTGGGGTACGGGCCAAACTCTTTCAGTTTGGCAATTTATAATCTTTCGTTCTGGGATTTAAAAGAACGTGGTCGTGGTTGGTTTCTTCCCATTTTCTCTGCCTCTTATTTCTGAAATTCTTGTAATTCCAATGC